TTTCAAAGATATATAAGGTCATCTAAATATGGTAATACTGCCTTCCTTTTGATTGTAAATTTGAAACTAATCAAGAAACAGTATTTGTATCATGTAACGTAGCTTGCCTGCTCCATTTATGCTGAACCTGTGATGCTGTGACTAAGAATGCGTTCTTGCAAATAAACAATCAAAGAATTCTTATGCTTCATCTTAGGCAGTGGAGCTCTTTAGATACTTTAACAAATACATTTGGCTGATTGTAGAGCAATCAAACCTGAATTCGGAGATCTTGTTTCTAGATAGTTAGTGATGACACTTTGTTTGACTGGTGTAGTCAACATGTTGATCCAGTTGATTGTATTTAAATGGAAAAAAAAAAAAATCCACTGTGTTTAGTGGTGAAGCTAAATATTATTTTCCTTTATCTTGTATAATTTCAGCTCTTATTCATCTTCAATCTGAGGATTCACATGTGAAATTTCTTTGTAATTAATTCTAAAACTCAATTTAGTGTCTCTAAGCTCCTAGACAGTCGCTTCATCTACTTTTGTGCCTGCAGATTTTATTCTCATTTTTTATAAATTTATTCTAATTTTACATCTTTATGCTTTTCATCTTTGAATAGAGATGACTGGGTCGACATTAGATAGGAGATCAGATAAAATACCTTTACTTTATGATCACCGATGCCAATATATGGATGAAGATAACCACTCGCGTGTTTGTCAAATTCCAAAAGTTAAGGTTGGGCAATATGGACAAAATGTTCTCTTCAACTTTTTGCTCATTTCCTCTACCTTTGAATGTGTGTGTGGGTATTTGGCCAACTCTATACCATTGAATTTACTTATACTGTAGGGGGCAAATTTCCGTGATCTACCTGGTGTAGTTGTAGGAGCTGATAATGTGGCTAGGCGGGACCCAACTGAGAAGCCAGTGCTCTTACCATCTGGAAAGCTATTGGTAAATCTTTTGTTGCCCTCGTTTGGTGAGGTTAACTTCACATTATTTAGCGCCCTCGTTTTGAAGAAGAAACTATAATTCATGTTCAAGTTTCTAGTTCTTGCCAAAATTGAATTAGATTGACTTAATTTTTATCTTGCTCTCTTGCTTTTATATTTTTGCTTAGGTCCCAGATTTTTGCTTCACTTTTGAGCAAGGGAAGTCTAAGAGGTGAGCTGTTTTTTGTCTAATGGCGTTGTAAGGTTACTTTTCTTGGTGTTGTTTAAAATTTTAATCAATATATATTATACATGCAGGCCATTTTCACGATTGTGGTGGGATGAGACCATTTCTACTGTCCTGACCTGCCCAAACTATCGTTCCCAGGTCTTGCTTCGCTCTTTGATTTTGGATATAACTCTCGTGCAGATTTCTTATTGCTTTTTCTTTCAAACATTTGTAGGCAATATTACATCCTGAACAAGATCGAATGCTCACTTTAAGAGAATGTGCAAGGTTACAAGGTTTTCCTGATTACTACCAGTTCTGTGGGACGGTTAGCAAGAGGTACGAAGCTACGATTTTGACAAATACCCTACAATTAGATGCATGCTCTATTGTCAGTTGCTTGATGTATTGTAAATAACCCGAGTTCTAAATTTGTGAAGTATGAAAAGACACGTTAACATGTCGGGTACTGAGCATATCAAGCCTGGATCCACCTCAATGTCTTCGGTTAACTTGTGTTTATAGAGTCATATTGAGATTTATTATTTCCTGCTCTTAAAAGGTTTCAAGTAGTGAATGGATATTGTTCAGAAATAGCTAAAACGAGTCCTTGTCCCCTCTTATAACTAAACTAGGAATAAATTTTTTGTTGAATTACTTCTTTCTTTCTTAAAACAATTATTTCCAGGTACTGTCAAGTCGGAAATGCAGTTGCCATTCCCGTGGCAAGGGCCTTAGGATTTGCCTTAGGGATGGCATATAGAAAGCTCAGTGGAGATGAACCACTTCTCACTCTCCCGCACAAGTTCTCTCTCTCAAATTATATTCAGTTGAAAAATAGTCAGAAACCAGGCAGCACTGACGAGGATTCATCCTAATTCATTTTCACTGATGTTAAAATTTTCCTAACCTATCCATTTCAATCCATTTTTTCTTGTAGAGCTGCCTTGGCAAGGGCACTTTTAGCAGTTTGACAACATCCTCTTCACTTTTGCACCAGAGGCACTGACTTTTCTTCTCTTTTTTTAAATTTTTCTTCTACTTGTACAACTAGCATTGTTATTATTACCTTCTTATTAGGCGCTAGCGTTATTATTGATGTTGTAATATCTCAGCTGCTTTTCTCACTAATGATGCTACTTGTTCTTGCATACAAGATTGCGCACAATTATGATGAAAGACCTTTCACTTTGAATTGAATTTAAAATGACTAAGATAAATCAAGACGTGCCACCTGAAATCTGCTCCCAATGTGCAAAGCTGGATGTGCTGGTTATGGGAAATACTTGAAAATGGATGTTCTGGTATAGATATTTATAATTTAAGAGTTACATTTGATATTTAAGTACTTATTTGCAATTAAAATTTTTGAATTTGTAATTATTTGGACTGATATTTTTAATCTATTTTTTTGAAAAAATTTGCTGGGAATCTAACTGTTATTAATTTAAGATGCTTAGACTTAAGTGTCATTCCTCCTTTCATCAAATTCTCCTAATGAATGGCCAAGAATTTGGGCATTAGGAAGAGCAACAGATAATTCAAATCTTTTTTTTTTCCCCTCAAGGAATAAAATAGAATATGCACACGCAGATAGGATCGAGCATTCTTAAACTCGGCACTGTGTAAAATATTTTATTTGAAGATTACTTAATTCATTAATTGAGTCTAATGGACGAGTTTGATTATTTATGTTTCATGAATAGTGGTTTTTTTAAATTTTAAGGGAGAGTTACACACAAATCCATTGATAATTGAGTTTAGAAGAGTGACAGAATGTTGTCACTAAATCTGAAAGTAATTAATCATCTTAATTAAAATTTAAAGTAATTCTTCCAAATTTTAATGTTATATAATATATCCTTTATTTTAAATGCGAAGTTAGGTTTTGTTTTTGGCGTGTGGCATGAGAATCAAATTGTTAAAGTGTGAATTTGAGAGAATGGTTGCAAAATACTGGGAATACGGAGAAGAAAAAAAGGGTGAGGAAAAAGGACGAATGGGAAAATGTCGGTGAAGGATCTTTTTGAATTTTTTAGAACGCCTCTGCTAATGATGTTTAAAAAACACTCTGAGATCATGTTTGGTTGTTAGAATAGAATGTGATGGATTAAAAAAAATAAGGTAAAAATAAAATGATCATATGAAGGATAGGTGAACCATATTTTAAGAGGAAGAATGGTAATTTAATTCTTGAAATTTGAAATCATAATTCATGAGGTTTTGGAAAAGTGTGATAATTTGCATATGCAATATATAATATTAAATTTTATCATATTTATTATGAGAAGAAATGATAACTTAATTAATTTTTGTTTTGATTTTTTTTAAATTTATTTCATTCACATCTTTTTTTAATGATGAAACGGACCTCCATTTTGCGTTCTTTCTTACCCACTCAGCCCTCTCCATCATTGTTCTTGCTCTATAATAAACTGCGTCATTGCCATTAGTAACCCGTCGTTGTTCCTCTCTTCTGCCTGTAGCCTGTAGGTTCGCTATATTATAGTGTTCCCCTTCTTTCACTCATTTTGGTTTGTAGATATGTTATGTTTTGTCTTGGATTTAAGATCAGAGCGCTCAGAATGTGATCCCGATTTGGAAGTTAGATGAACTTCTTAGCTTAGCTCCGAGACAGAGAGACATGCACTCCAAAGTCCAAATATCATCTGCTATACAATATTTAACTCACAAATGGAAACAGGTAAATCCTTTTAGATAGTATATTTATTTAATTAAACGACATGTTTGGAAATCTATTTACAAGCCTGACTAAGCAGAGTTGGCCTATTTGTTCAAGGTTTGGTATGACACACTTGGTCAAAATGAGCAGGCTAATTTAATGGGCCAGCCTGTGTTAAAAAAATTGGGCAGCCAGTCCCGTCTTGTATATAAGTTTTTATATATATATATATATATATAAAAGGAAAAATACAATCTTTTGTCGTGTTTTATTTTTAACGTTTTTTTTAATATTTTCAATTCATATAATTATAAATAGAATAAATGAATTTTATTTTCTAAGCCTTTATAATTTTTATTTTTTAAATTATTTTAATTTGTACAGAAATTAAAAATATTAAAAAAATTAGAAAGATCAAAAATAAAATTTAATAAAATTATAAGCACGAGAGGTTACGGGTAAAACTTGCTATGTGTCAGAATCGGTTTCAGTGCTCAGAACCAAAACACTGCCGTTTGACAGTTTTTTTTTTTTGCTTTTTTAAACTACACATTTATTATAATAAAAAATAATTATTATAAAATAATTATTTTAATATTTAATAAATAAATAAATATTAAGATATTAAAATTAAATATGAAGAGATTAACTCATTAAAATTTGACTTGAATAGTTCATATATAAATTTTAATTTAAACAGTTTAGAATTGTATTAAAAATATTAAAATTAGAAATAAAAATATTTTTTATTTTATTAATTTTGTATAGTTGTTTATTTATGAGAGATAATATCATTTAAGGTATAGTCAGGTATTAAATATAGATACTTTTTTTAATAGAAATTCAAACATTGATTTATTATCGTGTAAGAAAGTGACTCATTTTACTAGATTCAACTCTTATTTTAAATTGTTCAGATCATTTTTTATTTTTTTTAATAGAGTTCTCAATGGCCGGACCAAAATTTTTATTTAAACTATTCAGGTTTAATTTTAATATCTTAATATTTATTAGTTTATTAAATATTTAAATAATAATTTTATAATAATTATTTTTCATTATAATAAATTTGTGTTTTAAAAAAAGTAAAAGAAAAAAAAAAAACACTGCTAAACGGCAGTGTTTTGGTGCTGAGCACCACCGAAACCGAGTCCGTTGCGAGTCTTGCGACGCTGCGTATCAACGATTATCATCTCGGCACCCCAGCTCCACTACTCCAGTCATCGTTGTTCAGAAACCCTCGCCGACCGCGTCTCGTACTATTGCTCTCGACCTGTCGACCTCTCGTAACTCGCATCTCATTCTTGTCGTCCCTGGCTTCTTCTCAGTTTCATCGACCCTCGCCGTCGTCGGCCCTCGGTGGCTAACGGGCTAAGAGTATCGTCTCCCTCGTCTCGTCTCTCGAACTCGCGGTGTCGGAACTCAGAAGCTGCTCGTCTGGTGCTTCTATTCTTTATTGTCTTGTTTTGAGGTTTGTTTCGTGTTGTGCGTTTTATGTATGTTAAATTGATCTAACCTCTTCTAGTTTTCTTTTTCTGCTTGTGCATGCTTCGTTCGTATATGCCTGATTTATACAGCAACAACTTGCCTTCTTTATATGCTGGTTTTGTGTCTTGGAGTCAGATTGCTCGGGCCGAACTTTGCTTTGTGCTATGACTCCCTTTGAGTTGATAAATCAATTCTAAATGTTCTTCTTGGACACCCTTATAATTGGTTAGTGATTGACTTGTGGCCAAAAAAAAAAAATTCCTGGTAGGCTTGGTGGTGTTTGATTTGAAGATTATGATTATGGGTGGATGAATGTAGTATGTAACATTTTGGATTGTTTCCTCTGATGATGAATTTTGAACTGTTATATCGAAATCTCAGGCAGAACTAGAAGTGTAGAACAGGTCATGATTTTTTTGTAAAAAAAAAAAAATTGCAGCCTTCCAGAGTTCCTGTGATGTCACCTTTCTCTTCTCCCTCCTCTTGGTCTGCTATAGATTAATACCTCGTCTTCCCCTTTCTCCTTTATTTAAGCACTCTTGATATCTTCTCTCCTTATTATGTACTTTGATAGTTTGATTCATTATATGAGAAAAACTTGCGTGTGATTGTTAGTGTTGTCAGTTCTGTTTTTAGCGGAAATTCACCCTTAGAATCTTGGTTGTAACTCATGATTATGATTTCAAGAGTTATTGGATAAACTAACTCGGTTTTAATCTGACTATTTTGACCTGTTACACTTTGATTCTATACTTGCGTGATGATGCACGAATTTATAAATTCTGGTCGTCATTTGTTTTGCTGACATTGAATGGTTCAATGAGTGGTTTTGTTTATAATTTGTAGTGTAGGTGTATTCTACTATTTTCTTAACGTGTAAGTAGGAAAGGTGCCTTAATTTTAAAATCAGGAAAAGATTATGCTAACTGGAAAACTATCTTGCAAAATGACAATTATGTCGCATAAAGTAATCTTCACATGTGTTTTCATGATAAAAGTTAATTATTATTATTATTTATTTATTTATTTGGTACATTTATTTCTTGTTTTTTGTTGTTCCAAAATCTGGTCCGTGTTAGATTGCTCCTGCAAGAGTTTTTGCATTGACATAATTCAGGGAAAAAGATGGAGCGAAGATTACCTGCAGACTCGATCCCTATTTTCAACGAAGGGATAACTCTGGTTCTTCATCGTTGGTCTGCTCTCCGTATGGCTGTTGAGAATGAATGGGGAGGCCGAGAGTCTTGCCAAAAGGCTGAAAGACTTGGCAGCGACCTACTTAACTGGTTCACCCAATCTAAAGGTTATCTTCTCTTTCTATTGGAACACATAAAACTACTTGGTTTGTGTTATCAAAAAGCAGAATCCTGGGGTATATATGCCAGTGCTTAAGTTAGTAATATTTGGTTGAATCTGTTTATGATTAAGCAATATTAAGATAGAGTTGTACAATTTTATTCGTATATATAGTATATTGAAAGTTAGATTGAAGTTGATTGTGGTTTGATTCAGAGAGGATGATAATTTATAAAAGAGTATCTTTTAATATTTGGATGTGGTATTCACATTTAATTTAACTGCTGATTTTAATACCTTTTGTTGCCCAGAGCCTCTGTATATCGATGACTTAGAGAACATGCTCGATGAAGGTATGCTTTCTCTCAACATGGAGGTTGAGGATGGCAGTGTCGAAGAGGTATTTTTTTTTTTTTGGTTATAGTTGCTTTCAGATTCTCATATCAGAAATTATATATGGTTACAATTTGTTGTTAATTTTAATAAGAAGAATCATGGCATCAACTAATTTTTATTTCATTATATTGCTAACATTTGAATGTTAACACATGCTTGTGTTGACAGAGATTTAACTCTATTCCTCTTTAATTGTTCATAGTACATCATCCTCTTTTGAGAATGAGTCTCATGATCAACTTTGTGGGTTTGCATTAATATTCCTTAGGCATATATTGGCCTCTTGGGTTGTCAGAACCCTTCTTTATTTGAGTTTATTAATAATTAATGCCATGTTATGTCTGCTAACTGCATTTTTTGGGATGCTCAAATTCTTAGCTTTATATGCATGTCACGTTCATGAGTTTTTTATTTTTCATTGGCCAATTTCCTGTGAGAACTCTTCTATTTCAATGGGCTACTCATTAAACTTGAATTTGTGCTAAGATGCCTGCTGATGGGGTTTTGCTTGATAAATTTTTACCTGACTCTGTTATTTCACTCAAATACCTTTTTTTCTTTTATCTCATCATTTTTATGTTAATGATGATTTTGCAGGTAGCCGAGAAACTGATGATTCTGCACGAAGAATGTCTTGAAGGTAATTTCAGGTCCATTGAGATTCTAAGGGAAGCCAATCTCAAACAAGCTGCTCGCCCTCATGCAATACAGGTATATTATAACATCATATTTTTAAAACAGAAGTACTGTTTTATAATTATATTGCTTATATAAAGTATATTTATCTGTTGGGATGTATACAACGAGCTTAGCTTTTACAACTTGGGGCCCGACGGAATTTGGTGAGAGGGAGGAGCATCATTTGGCATGGTGCTTGAATTTGGTGCCCTATTTCATAAAATGATGACAAGAAATTGTGGGTTAACGCAATATTATTATTATTATTGTTATTTTTAATGTGGCTGAAAATTATAAGATGTGGCCTTTACTAATATGTAAGAACTGAGATTAGAAACTCGTGTGATTCAGAGCTGTCATGTCATTCTAGTGACAATCATTGTGTGATTCGAAAATCTCAAAATTCGTATATTAGTTGCTTCATTGCTGGAATCACTAGTCCCATTTCTTACATCCTTGTGGGTGGCTTTGCCATTTGCGTTCCCTTTCCCACGGCAAATATCATCGGATAGAACAATTTATTCAAAATAAGCAAAGAATCGCGACATTTAATTTAAATATGAAAATATATGAATTAGCTTGCTTAACCTGATGAAACTAATGATCTTACTGTATGAGGAAGAGAAATTAGGGAAGAAATGGCATTGCTCTCTGCCTCTCTCCGTTGTGAAAGATTTATATTCACGGGCATGCTGATTCTCATAATAAGATTCCTAATTTACAGGTTTTTGTGAGTTGCCATTTATGTTTGTTGAACAAGTATGTTCAAGATTGTGCACACTATGTTTCTGGTTATTATCCTTGATTGTGAACAGAAACAATCAGATCATCGTCTGCTTGATTTTGACTGATGTAACAACTTTTGACATATTTGCCTCGTTAGGTTGTGAATAATGACGAGGACGATGAAGATGATGACGAGGATGAAGACAGACCTATAGATAATTCTAATATGGTAGTAGAAATGCAAATGCCAGTTAAGGAGTCCATACCCAAGGCTGCAGCTGAAACGGAAGACGATGGATGGACTGTAGTCTCAAGTAGACGGAACAAGGGTAGAAATTAAGAGAACAATTGGGGAATTCATTTGAATATCCATTAATTTATATGTATAGACTTCTGTTTTTGTTTTGTTTCGTTTTGTTGGGTTTTTATAACAATGTGTTATGATCGTAACTATGATTATGTTTTTGCAATTTTATTCAAAAGAAAACATGAATTGATCATGGTAAAGCTGATATCATGAATCAAAGGCAGCGTGAAGATCGTTGGAACATAAAAGGAACAGGATGTGAAGTCTCAATCATTTGTTTAATTGAAGAAAGTTTCTACCACTCACGTAAATCTGAGTTGGCATGGGCTTTTTAATTAGACCAACCTTATTTATTTATTTTAGGGTTATAGGTTATTTTTATCTCTTAAACTCAGTTGTCGGTTAAATTTATTCCTTAAAGTCATTGCCTCTGTGCCCTCGTGTCAACCTCTCCAATACTACCATTTAGTTCCACATTTAAATGATTTAATATTTTCTAATGGGTGTAATCTTTTTTTATATTTTTTATAATATAAAAAAAATACCCCTCCCTCTCCTCCCTCTCCCCTCTGTCTCCTTCACTCCCTTTCGTTTCGATTACAACTCTGATTGCATGGCCACCCGCCTCTCTTTCCCCCTCCTCTGCCGTAGCACACCACCCATCTCTAACGAGTGTCCTTCTCCTCTCCCCCACCCCCAACTTCCTCTCTCCGTCTCCCATCTCGCTGTCTCGTCACACGCTCATGAAGGTGGCATGCTTGGTGGTTCTGTGCGTGGCTCTTGTTGGAGCAACTATGGCCGATGCAATCACTTGCGGTCAGGTCACCAGCAACATCGCACCATGCCTCACTTACCTCTCGGTGCCTCGCTTGCAATCAACTGAACCTCATCACCTTATCCTCTCTCGCCTGGCCTCTATCTCCTCCCTCACATTCTCTCTCTTCTCTCTCTCCGGACGATGCTCACCAGATCCCTTCTCTCCATTCTTGAGTTTTCAAAGACCTCATAGTCCTCTTATCTCCCTCCTTCTCCTTCTCCCCTGGCCACTTTCTCTCTCCTCCACGTGAAGGACCCTGCATGCATGTGAATGCCATGATTGTTGGTCGTGGATTCCGTTGAAACAAGAGGACGCCATGATGCCATGACAATGTGTACAGCTCAATTTGGAATGCAGTTGATTGGGCCACACAGGGGAGGAAGAGTGAAGACGTATCGGAGTCGCGCTTCGTTCATGGAGACATACAAAAAGCTTCGGGATTAATGAATGCGAGTGCCCATGGCGATGGTGGAAGCGAATAATGCGAAGATATGTGAAGATAAGAAGCATTGCTGGCTGGCTCTGCCAAAGCTGTTGCTTCGAAGCTCTTCAAGTAAGAAGCTCGTATAGACAAACGCTCTTAATTAATTTATAATTAAGAAAATATATCTGCGTTCTCGTCGGATTATTGTTCTTGGCAAGTTTTGAGAAACTAAAGAATCGTCGTCTATGTCCTCATTGGTCGATGAAATGAAGGAGAGAGAAGAGAGAGGGAGAGATTAGAGAGTGAGAGTGGGATTAATGGAAGAGAGACGAAGACAAAAGTAGAATTTTTTTTATATATATTATAAAAAATATAAAATATGGTGAGACCCATCATATAACATTTTATAATAAATATATATTGAAGAATTCAAATGTGGTATTGATATAATGGAAAAATGCATGACAAGTTAGCATCGAGGGTATCGAGGGGTAAATTTTTAAAATTAAGAAATAAAATTAATTTATGATTAAATTTAAATATTTAGTAACCTTTCAAGTAAAATTAAAAAGTAAAACTAATCATTAAACTTTTATTTTATTATAGCCATTAAATTATATTTATAATTTGAGTCCAAAAAATTGATCTTCATAGTTGGGAGCTAATAAATAAATAATTGTGTTCTGTACTTTAATATTTATTAGCACTTGGAATGAATACAAGTATTTCTATATTCCTCTTCCCCCAGATTTTGAAAGTATATATACATATATATTGTGCCTGAGTAATTTTTTTCTCATTTTCTATTAAATACATTAAACTTTGAATGCATAATTTATTTTTCAAAATAATCTCTATATTTAAATTAATCTCTCTTGCTTTTTTTTTTTTTTTTTTTTGGGTGGTGGGAGTACTTTCACCATCCGTATCTATATATATTGTCGAAGGTTTAAAGACAAGGCTAAAACCCTCGTCTAAGCGAGTCACCACCTTCGAAGGACTGCGTCTGAGCTCTTCCTTCATTTCCCACAAAAATGGTGACCAAGTATTTGACCTTAAGAACTCCTGCTAAAATCCTCTTCCAACTTCTTCAACCTTCTGTTAAACATTCTCGCTCAGTTTCTCAATTCCCCAGAAGCATCCATTCATTCGTTTCCCGAGAATTTGATGCGCGAAAATTTCAGAACTCTCATCCCGGAGATTGCAGGGGCATGGTCTGCGCTCCAAATTACAATCTCGATGAAATTGGCGCTGCTGCGCTCGCCCGTGATAATCGTGTTCCGGCTACTGTGATAACAGGTTTTCTTGGTTCTGGAAAGGTTGGTTTGTCTATTTGTTTTCCCACTTTTTTTGTCATTTTCAATTTTATCTTTGGTTATAGTCGGGTTGTAATATTCCTCTATGCGAATATCAAATGAGTTTAATTTTTCTAATGGCTCTTGATGACATCCTGTATTATTTATTTATTTACTTTTGTTTCATTTCTATAATTATGGTGTGTAGTTTAGAGATAATATACAGATTCCACTGTTTGTTTGTAATTGCTTTACCGTCCCTGGAATGTAAGCGAGCATGATTTATGCAGACGACTCTCCTAAATCATATTCTGACGGCCCAGCATGGCAAGCGGATAGCCGTCATTGAAAACGAGGTATTGAATCCCCCCTGCCTATTGAATTCCTTCTTTGTTTGCAGTTGGTTCTTTGTTCATTGACTACTCTTGCTTTGTTTAACTTGATACACAACTTTCTATTTTGGAAATTCCACATCATTTGGAATTACTACTTGGGATGGATTGAGTTCTTAGCACTGGTACTGAATATAAACTCTCAGTATGAGTATCTTTTGTGGTGATGACTCAGAGTTGGAACTAGTCGTTGGGACTTAGCGATTTACGGTACATCAGGGCATTGAGCAATGCAATATATTTTGTGATAAAACTAGTCAACAATCAACATGCTAATGATGGGAGCAATTTGTGATTTAACTTATAAGTAAACTATACGAGGTCATGATGTAACCAAAAAAGAAATGGGAGGGAGCCAAGTGCTCTGGGGAACCTTGCCTTTTTTGTATGGAGTTTTGATTTTTGTGAGATTGTCTCACTGTTGCTATAAATGCAGTTTGGTGAGGTGGATATTGATGGATCATTGGTTGCTAGTCATTCTTCTGTGAGTGAAGACATTGTCATGGTTAATAATGGCTGCCTATGCTGTACTGTGCGTGGGGATCTAGTTAAAATGCTGTTGGAACTGGCAAGAAAAAAACGAGATCAATTTGATCATATTGTTATAGAAACCACAGGTATGTGAACTTTTTGTGAAGTTCAAAGAACTTGTTCAGAGGGAATTATGGTGTTGAAGATTGTATATTCACTTTTGCCTAGACTAACTGAAGAGTTGAGTCAGGAATTTTCTGGGGTTTCTCACTTGTTAGAAATACCTTTCTTTGTTATAGGTTGAAACAAAATATAAAACGGTATTATAAGGAAAATGGGAGAATATGGAAAGATGAAGGTATAAGATTGGCAATGAATCCTACTCTTTTTGCCTCAAGTTTACATCTAGTACTTAAAAGATCATCATTAATCCTCTGAATTATCATGAATAATCAGATTCATCTTCATGGCCCCTAAACTTTTTCTGGAGACTTTAGACTTACCATATACTGCCAAGTGCCTGCTAGTTCAGGGTGTGATAAATATGAGTCCTTTTAGTAATTGCATCTGTTTGGTGTATCAAACTGTTTGCTAGACCATGCAATTTAATCTGCTTTTGCAGGTCTTGCTAAGCCAGCTCCTGTTATTGAAACATTTTGCGGTGATGAACTGGTTTCTCAGCATGTGAAACTGGATGGAGTTGTGACTTTGGTTGACTCCAAACATGCCATGCAGCATTTAAATGAAGTGAAACCAAGGTTTGTGGTTAATGAGGCAGTGGAACAAGTTGCATATGCAGACCGTATTATTTTGAACAAGGTGATTGTCTAATGTCTTCTGGTTGCTCCTCAACATTGTTTTATATTATTCAAATTTTTTTTATTTTATAAATTGTCTTTGGCAGATAGATTTAGTGACTGAGTCTGAATTGGAGGTTTTGACCAAGAAAATTAAGGTATGTTTTCTTTTTATATCGATTGTGAAGTCATCATGTGTTTTTTAATTAAACTGGGAAGACAGTATGACAGTGTTCAGAAAGATGATGTGTAGAAAGGTCAACCTTTATTCATAAAAATGGAATGTGCTTATCTCATGTATGGACTTTTCTATATGCATTTTTTTTTTTACCAGACTTCTGTATGTGCATTTACTTGTTTCCTCTACATAAGTTCTGATACATGTCCTTTTGCAATATTTTTGTTGCCAGCATATCAACGGGATGGCACAAATTAAGCAAGCTAAATTTGGATCTGTTGATGTGGACTTTGTTTTGGGTGTGGGAGGATATGATCTTGAGAGGTATTCATGTTTTTTGTTTCTTTTAGATCTTTTTAGTTTATGTTTCCTCTCAAGTCTCACCCCTTTGTAATACTTTAAAGGAATATTGCATATTTGATATGTTGTTTTTCTTCAAATTTCTTCTGTTGCTCAATCAAAGACTTTAATATTGTAGAATTGAATCTGAGGTTCATGGAGATTGTTCATCCTCTTCAAGTGATCATCATGAGTCTGGGCACGGTAGTTTCCTGAACCCTTTTTCTCATTGTATGTGTATTTTATTATTTCAAATATTCTGAAAGTTGGCCATAGCATTTGTTGACATATATTCAAATGGAAGATAGATGGATCCCATGGATTTGATTGATGTGACATGAAACATATTAAACTGGAAGATAGATGGATCTAATGAATTTGATTAATGTGAAACTTTATGTTATTGCGTTATATTGATGTAGCGGATATCTCTCTCCATGCCTTCTTTTTATGACTCCTGTGCGCTTTGAGTCATCACTTTGCCTTATCTGAATTTCATTCTAGTCTTTTTAACTTCCTTCCCCCTTCATATAGTTCAATCCTAGTTATTAGAACTCTGTAAGCAATGCATATAAAAGCAAACTTGTCCTTTTTTTTTTTTTGGCCCCCTGCTCTTTAAGAGTAGATATACTTACTGATGTTCGAGGTCCTTTTTTGGTTACAAACATGAATGTAACTAACATGCAATTCAGATCTGAATCATTGTGAATGTGGTTACAGAACACAAAGGACATCATCATCATGACCATGAGCATGATTCTGCAGTCTCCAGTGTCAGTATTGTTTCCGAAGGAACCCTTGATCTTGATGAGGTAATTTTAATTCCTTTTCCCCTAAAAAATAAGGACAAAGTGTTGGTCCTAAATCAGTACAATTAACGGATCTATTCATTTGCATTATCTTAGACCAAAAATGTTTATTTTGGTGTATTTGTGCAATATAAAACTCTGGACTGCTTGATGTGTTAGAGTTTCAAACTCATTATTGCGCCTCAGCTGTTCTTTTTGTGTACGAATCATTTAATGCATATTTTTTAGTGTCTGAACAATCTGTAATCGTTGTATATGCAGACGTAAAAGATTCCTTTGAAGCCCTCAATGAAGCTACATGTTTTGACTGTTCATTCCTTGCAGATGCTTTTACGATGTCAATTCAGTTTTGAAGTCAGTTTAAGAGTATACCTGTAGTTTGTTTCCTGTTAGGGTGCAAAATGATGAGAGATTCTTGGTGGGATAAATGGAAATCCAATAGATTTTTTTGACTGAAGGATATATTGTTTTGACTAAAATTTTTGGGTGAGAAATTCAAAATTCAAATTCAAATAGATAGAATAAAAAATTACCATTAGAATAGAGAGAGGCAGGATGCCCAATACAAACCATTTTGTTTTTGCTGCACTATTCATGATTTATATATAATGCGATATTTTATAAATGTATAAATGTATAGATAAAGATATGGCGCATTATATTCCATAATTAGCTTTCATCTGTTTATCAGACAATTGAAATTAAACCCTTGTCATTGACATGTACAAACACCGTATGATACCTAAGAAATTTTATAAAATGACCTTCAAACCTAAGGTACACTGTTTGACTCAGTTATATAACAAGATTTCGATAATTTTATGGTCATGTGATTTCTAAAAGCTAATCATGATCTACCGTTTCTTGGCATTGGATGATGCAGCTTGATGATTGGCTCGAGAGATTGGTAGAAGAAAAAGGAGAGGATCTATACAGAATGAAAGGGGTCTTGTCAGTGGATGGCTCTGATCAAAGATATGTATTGCAGGTTCTCTTCATCTTATCTTGTCTCCATTTCCCTCTTGCAATTCTTTTATACTCTGATCTATAATTAGGCAAAAAAAAAAAAAAATCAATCTCAATACTTTGAATTCTCAAAAGTAGATGCATAAAGTCTGAACCAAGAAATATAGAGAGAAAATACACACACACTTAACAATTTTGTGTTACACTCCAAACACATGTTGAATGTATGAATGCAGAAGATTTAATTTGAGCAATAACCAGATATCAAAAGAAGTTAAGGCCATGAAAAAATTGACTCCTATCTTACAATGGCGTGACTTCAATCGTTATAAGCAGTCTTGGATTTGTGAAGCCTATTCTAACCCTAATGAACATTCGAGACCTAACTCACATGAACTTCAATCGAAAAGGAAAGAGAAAAAGAAATTATGAGTGTAAGGATAGGCATAGACTTCACATATAATTGCTTTCTTTTGTGTTACTCTCTCGAAATGCATGACTATACCCATGTCCATCATCAACTTTCCCATTTAGGGAGTGCATTCCATGATGGATGGGTGCCCAGGAAAAACGTGGGGACCTGAGGAGAAGAGGATAAACAAGCTTGTGTTCATAGGAAGGAATCTGGATGAAACTGCCCTGAGAAAAGGATTCAAAGGTTGCCTTGTGTGATATTTAAGTATTGTCTCACCGGTCAACTTTCATAGAAACATCATATGCCCTTTGGACGCGGTTTTAAACATTGCCACCATCTGTTTAGCACTACCGGACGGACAGTATTTTTCTTCTTGCGCATGAGACAGACAATGTTGTTCGCTCTTCGATTCTATCGCTGGACAGGTGTTTCGGGGTATCATGTGCATTCAATCACGGTGCACCTACTCTCAAAGGTCCATGCTATTGTCATTTCTTGCTGTACATTGTCATCTTGCTAGACATTTTTACTATTTCTTCTAAGTTGAATTTGGTATTATTGACCCAAAAAGAAAAGAAGAAAATTATACTTGGAATTTTTTTCAAATTTATATTTCGATTCGATGTTCAGGAAATTTACCCTGATTTTTTGTTGTGAAAAAGTTATTTTTCTTGTCATTCCCATTCCCATTGATTTCATTTAGATTAAGTTTTTTGAGAAAAATAGTTTTAAGGGTGTATTTTATATATTAATTTAATTTAATTCGTTTTATTTTAAATTACTCCAAAACAATCAAAGTCAAGGTAGCAGAACGAATATTAACTCTATGCCAAGGGGGAAGCTGAAAGATGCAAACTCTTAGATTGAATGCCAAATCTGATCCGTTAACTTGATTTGTTTTAAATTCGACATAAAAAATGAAAAAGAAGTTGTAATAAGGAATAAAATCTTGGCACGTAGATATGAAAAGATGACGACAAGAGGTCAATTAACAATTATTGATTTTTTAAAAAATAAGAAGAATAAGAAGAAAAGAATAGGAAGACAACAAAAAGGTATTTGTCATTTAAGGAAATTGGTTTTTTAAATAAAAAGAATGATAAAGAATACAAATATATATATATACAGGGACACAAAATTGAGGGGTCAGTTGCTCAATTGAAGAGTGTCTGGATTTTTCTTTGGGCCAAGAAGGATATTTAGATTTAATTTTCCTTAAGAGAAGTAAAATTGTAATTTAAACAAATAATCACAACTATTAGATTGAATAATCTCTTTATTTTTCGCTCTTAATTTTTTTGTGTTTATTAATTAGTATTTTACCAAGGAGTAGAGTAGGAGCTTATCACGGAGCCAACATCTCAAGTGCCAATATCCTGCTGTCATTTCTCTCGCGGACATATCGAAACGTGTCTTCTTCGTAGGACCCATCAGCTCTTGTCCTTGGGTCCAACTTCAATGGGCCGAATATTCTGTCTACCCTGTTCGGCGCCGAACATTCCACGCTGGCATCTACGTGTCGCTTCAATTTTTTCTTCTACAACTTCCTCTATTTTCCATATTCCATTTCCTCCCGTTGGATTATGGCGCTTTGGGTGACTTGTTCACATCTAACGGTGGACGTTCGTAGCAAGTAAGCTCGCTCACGGGGGAACACAGTGGTTCCTTGGAGCGAAGAATTGAATAATGGGGGTGCCACGATGTTGCTTCAGATTCGTCGCCGAGCTTCGCTCTAACATGTTTCGTTTCAACAAATTGTACATTGAATTTGCTAATTCTACAAAAACCCACGTAGCAGCGCATTCACGCTTTCGTTTCTGAATTGTTTCTGACTTCTCTCGTTTTTGGGTGGTTCCAATTGAGTTTCAATTTTCAATTCCGCATCATTTTGCTGCGAGACCAGAGATCGTTCGTGGGTTTTTTCGCTTCAGTTCTTGTGAAAGTAGTAGAATTCTGTGAGAGTGATATCGCTGTTATTGGGTTTTTTGATCACTTCCTTTTTGTGTTGCTTTTGGGACCTGATGATCGAACGGAGGCGCTGCTTAGCTGAAATATAAAGCAGAAACAGCAAGTGCGATTCGGATTGGGATTAAGATTGATTGTGTAGGAAGAGATATAAATACGAAAATCGAAGTGTGTTGTTCAGGTGTAAGTGAGCGAGAGTGATGGAGAGAGGTTATGAAGGAGGAGGGAATTTTGGGTTTGAGAATGCGGTGGTGATGACCAGAGACCCAAAGCCAAGGCTCAGATGGACGGCTGATCTTCACGATCGATTTGTCGATGCCGTCACCAAGCTTGGTGGCCCCGACAGTACGTACTCTTCTTCTTTTGATCTGTCAATTTTTCATCGCTCTCAAAAGTTGTTATAACTGAAGCTAAAGTTAGGTTAGAATTGACTATTCAAAGAGGATAAAAGAGAAAAGATTGTTTATTAGGAGATCATTCTGTTTGCTCTAGAGTCTAGAATATATATATTGGTGCGAAATTGGGCATATTGGTATTTGCTTCACTTTTATCTTCATCCATATGACATTTGGCAATTTCATTATTTGTATTTGTTTTTCTCCCTTTTTTAGTGTGGCTATTTATAAATTTTGGTCCTGATATGATATCTATGTATAACTGGGGAAAGGAGACCTGAAAGTTGTAATCAAACTGCCAAACTCCTCTGTGAAGTTTTTGAACTCTGTTTTTTCAGAGCATATAATCCGTTGTCTGGAATTTTCAAACTCTGCTCAAATTGCTTGCTGCACCAAAAGTTCTCTACTATAACGTAGTTTACTTTAGTTTGAAAAATGGGTTTACTTTGTGTTCAGAAGCGACTCCCAAGTCTGTGTTGAGGCTGATGGGCTTGAAAGGCTTAACTTTGTATCATTTGAAGAGTCATTTGCAGGTAATCAGACTCCAAACTCTATCTTCTGCCTCAGAAAATCGTTAGTGAATAAGGATAGTAGGATGTGAGCTAAGAAATGAGAAAAAAGAGAATGAATGAATGAAATTGCTCTTGTGGTAGCTTTGTTCAGTATATTTGTTATATATTACTGCTTCTTTCGCCCATTTGCCTTACATCCTTCGATGATGCAATTTTTCTTAGCTATCACTGCATGTTTCCCATTCAAAAGTAAACAAGTTATATAACAAAGCTTGTTAATATGTAGAAATATAGACTTGGACAGCAGGCACGGAAGCAAAACAGTGAGGAACAACACAAAGAGAATAAAAATAATAGTATGCCCCTCTTTACAGTTCTACTTATATAAATTTTGGAGGAGGTTCCTATTGTAACATTCCTTGACTGTTTTTTTTTTTTTCCTTCTTTGTAGGAGGTGCATATGTACATTTTAGTGATCGTTCTTCGGGGCCTAACACCAATTACAGAGGCAATAACCAAACAGAGTAAGTCGAAGTCTAACCCAAAATGTAGCTTCATTGCCTTCATCTATTAGTCAGTTTCACGAGTTAGTTTATAAAAATATTTACTATTCTGCTCTGAGAATCTGTCGCTTGTTCTGACAACTTGAGGTTATGATTAAGATACTTGTTCTGAGAACTTAATAAAGTTCCTTGAGACTGAATCAGCATATAAACAGAGTACCCTGAATTTAACTAAAGGTAAGGGGTGAACATCGGAAGATTCGGTTCAGTTTGGTTCGTGCCAAAATATGTAAAAACGATCGACCAAACAATACTAAAAATATAAACCGAATTGAACCAAATAAGGTAATCAAACCAAACAAGGAATGAATCAAAATTTGACAATTTGGTTTCTTTGGTTAATTTGGTTTTTGGGCTTCATGTGAGACTGCTTGGATTTGGGCCAAATTTGTTTTTTTCCCTACTAAAACAGATAAGGCTTATGTATAAAATTGGGCTTGTAAGGTGATAATAGCCCATTTTAATTACACACACATATTATTTATAAATTAATAAATTATATATAAAATAAAGTAATTAATAAACTAAATATAATGTATAAATTAATAAATTATATATATATAATAATTTGGTCCGTTTGATCTATTTGCTTTTAAATCTTACTAACCGAATTGAATTGATCAACCAAAATTTTTATTATTATTATTATTATTTTTTTTGGAAAAAACTGAATTGAACTGAAAACTGAATCCCTTTAGTCTAAAGGAATGTTTGGGTAGATGTGATTTGCAAAAGATAAGTATATTATGACAAGTATGGATAAATGTGTAAATGTGTAAGAGGTGAGTTATAAACTGTGTTTAATATGTTTACGTAAATTATCATGCTTTGAGAACTGGCGGAACTTATGGTTAATTTAGATACACAATCCATTCCAAAGCCTTACTTTTCAGAAGGTAACAAATCAATTACTAACTGGTTGGCAAAAACCAATCAGGGAAATCCCATTAGCAGAGGCACTGAGGCGTGGGATCGAAGTTCAAAAGCAATTGGAAGATCAGCTCGAGGTGTTAACTACATTCACTTGGCATATTTTTACTGAATTTTCATACAAAACTTCCTTGTCAAATAATTGGAATTTGCTGTTAATTTTCTCGTTTTATTTGCAAAAATTTCATTGTTACCAATAGGTACAGAAGAAATTGCAGATGAGAATAGAGGCTCAAGGGAAGTACTTGCAAGCCATGCTTGAGAAAGCACAGAAGAGCCTTTCCCTGGACATGAATGGACCACAAAACCTGGAAGCAGCTAGAGCTCAATTGACAGACTTCAACTCTGCTCTGTCCAATTTCATGGAGAACATGAACAGAGACAACAAAGAAAACATCATGGGAATGAATGATTTCTACAAGAAGGCCCACAGTTCATCGGCTTTTGGAATTTACCCGGAAACAGAGGGAGAAGATCTCAAGGACCGGAAGCCTAAGGTTGAAGAGGGTTCAATACAGTTTGACTTAAACATCAAAGGTAGCTATGACTTTGTATCAGCAGGTGCAGCTGAAATGGATTCCAAGGTGCTTTCATACAGAGTGTAAAAAAAATTTTGAGCTGTACTGTGCCCATCACGAGAAGATATATTCTTCATGATTTTTTTTTTTGTTAAGTCTCTCGAGTATAAATATGAAGATATAAAATTGTCTTTTCTGTTCTAAGGAAAACCAATTTCATTAGTTCCAATTTCCTTTACTATAACACTCAATGAGAGCAAACACATTCTTTATCTTGAGACATTTCACATTCAACAGAAACCTCTGCATAACTTGCTACTGATAGACTTCTGTTTCTCTGTCTTGGAAGACATCGTGAGCATCTAAGATCTTAGTTTCAAATTTCATTGACTGATGTTCTCCAAAAAGATCAAATTAGGATAAGTAAATTCCTTTTTTTTTTTTTTAAATATATCTCAGGTAAACTTATGCTAATAAAAAGACCAAGTCCATATATAGGCCAGGCTAAAAATCTTTATTAAAGAAACCTCCGATCTGCTTTAGTAACTTTGCTTGACAGAGATTGATGCTTTCTTTGACTCCGAATGAGGATGAATGATATTGATAATACAGGACCATGTTAAGCGCATGTTATTTTTACTTTTTAGTGACATTTGTTTCCAGCACAGATTTTATTGTTACAAGTTCAGAGTTATTTATTGGGCATATTTTGTGAAGTTCACTTGGAAAATGGAACAGAGTTGATAGTCAAAGCAAATATGAATATACAACAGCTTTATAATATAGTCATCTGTCATACTCTCCCTAGTTGTTTTATTTATTAACCAAAGTTTATCAGTAAATATGGACTTGGAATTGCTGCTGAGCTGATGTTTAAGCTTCGAGATAGATCATAAGGTATTCATCCATGCGCGTGTACTTCACCTCCGGATAAAGCTCTGATGCTTCTTCTCCATCTTGCCCGATTTCGAAGTTCGTCAAACACCCTTCGTAGTATATGTGGTAGAAATGCCCAATTCCCACTTGCGTTGCATAGTCCGAACCTGCATTTTTTTTTTTTGCCAGCTGTCATTTATCCGTGATATTGAAAACCAGGTCAATCCGACTAGCCGGTTGAATGAAATGTCATGTTCATAATCAGTATCTTAATCGATTCAATTATCAATCTGATTTCTGTACCCTGCATTTACTTTGACAGATCAAATTGTACAGACTAAGTTTAACATTGATGGTGTTGGGTTTTTACCTTTCATGGAGGAGAGGAGGTCGTGTTCAGACAAGCAAGAGTTGTGAAGTTCCCTTCCCAAAAGTTTCTCCCACTTGTGAATCAACTGTCGCTGGGACAGAATGTTATCAGGAGGTCTTATGTATACTGTCTTGTTCAGAGTTCGAGGATCGTCGATTGTTTTGATTGTGTACGTCGCCACATCATCTTCGTCCACATAAACAGCTGCACAGAACAAATATATAATAAACCTTTTCCTTTTTTCTTTTTTTGAGCGAAAAAGATATAATAAACCTGTGTCTCCCGTTTTTGCCTTCATTAAGGATTTTCGTACCTTTAACGTTGCCGTCTCCGTAGAGAGTGACCTTGTCGGTCGGAGGGAGGAGGGTGCCCATCTGAGAAAGGTTTCCGGCGAAGTAGCCAGCGAAGCAGTTGGCGGAGACGAAGGTGAAAGGGATGTTGGCTTCGTGGATGGCTCTTCGCACTCTCATTTTGTCGTCAAAAGAGACTCTTCCTGGTTCTAGTGCATGTCCCATGCGTGATGGGTCCATTCCAAATTCGGACGGCAAAAATCTCTGCATCACCAGTAAAATGGTCAGAGGGGATGAGCTATGCAATACGCATCTTAAAAATTAAATAACATATGATCTTTTAAAATTGGTCCATTATTATTTTTAGTAGTCAATATTTTTGTTAGAAGACTTTTTTTTTAACCCAACATTAACTTAATATTGACTATTTAAAAGGGTGAAAGCTTATGTGCTATAATACATGACTTCATGATTTTCCGATAAGCACTTGATCTAGTTGGAAAGGACTACGGCTGGTATTCCCTAAGGCGTGCGTTCAAACCCTAATGATTGATAAACGTGATAATTAACACGACTTTAAATAGGTTATTTTATCGATATCTCGTTACCACCATAAGATCTCCTCGTGAGGGGTCTGAATTAGTTTAGGATGGATAATAAATTCAAAATATTTTAGAATACCAAATAGTTTATACTAAAAAAAAAAATATGACTTCATGATTTCTTCTAGGTGGTCATAGCTCTTCTAGAAATACTTCTAAAGCAATAAATGCATTTTAACGCATAAAAAAAATAAAAATGGTTCTTTCAGGCAAAAAAAAGAAGAAGAAGAAAAAAGCCATGCACATAATTTATAGGGGGTATTTAAATTAAAATGATAAAATTTTAGGAGATAAAGAAATTGTACAATAATACTAGTATTAGCCAGTTATTGTGTGTGTGATGATGTTTGCAAATTTTCGTTCTCTCGTAATCTTATTTTAGGATTTAGGTATTTTCAACTTTTTAAGGATATATGCTTGAGAGTTTAGGATTGATTAACCAATCTGAATTTAAAAGAACAAAATAAATTACTATTATTTTGTAAATATCATTATTGTTTTGGCTTGAACTGTGAAAGTCCAAATTATGCTCGAAAGTATTTATTATATTATAAAAGAAATTCAGGTGCATAAAAAATGAGTCGTTGACAACCTATACACATAGTCACATATTCTTCTTCTGCCACCCTCTCTTGGCCGCATGAATATAGAAATACAAATTTAAAATTAAATGAATCTTAGCTATGAAATTAATATATGGTGATGTTCATGAAGGTGTATGGTCTTATTAATTACCTTAACGTTGCCAGCATCTTTGATGGCCTCAACAAGCTTGAGCTGCATCACCAAGTTGTGGCTCCGGAAGTGAACGCCGGACATGGCGCAGATTACTACGTCGACTTTCCTGACAGCGTCGATGAGACTCCGGTGATCGGAGAAGGAGGCCGGAAGGAGACGAGCGCCTTGCTTCTTGAAGGACAAGAGCATCTGAAGCTTGTCAATGTCAAGGCCTATCTCAGGACGTTGAACAACATAGGTCTCGTGGCCCTCTGCAAGACTCGCCTTCACTATTCTCCTTCCTAAATACCCTGTGCCTCCCACCACCAGAACCTTCCTCTTCCCCATTGCTTCAATTATTTCACTCTTCTTTCTTTGCTCTCTTCTTCTGCTACATGCTTGCTTGTCTCAAGATGCAAATTAATATTATTAATTGTGCGCGTGCGCGTGCGCGTGTGCGTGTGCCTTTTTTTCGATGGAGATTTTTTTTTCAACAAATCTTCTCTTTCTGAAATTTGTAGTTGTTACCTAAGTTTCAAAGTTTGAACAGTCAATTAAATCTAGAAGTAGGTTTATTAAGTAATTAATCAGCTCTCCACCGAAACTAGATGAAAACTATTCTTTTACATCGACCCGGTGCTCATCAATGTGATAAAATTTAAATTTTTTAAATTTTAATTTGAATAGTCTAAATTTAAAATATTATTTTAAATTTATATTTATTAAAATAAAAAATTATTAAAATTATTTTATAATTGCTATATATTAAATATCCATATGTACTCTATATATGGATATTAAAATTTTTATAGAGAGTACATCTAAATATTCAATATATAGCAATTATAAAAATTTTAATATTAAATTAGACTCTCCAAATTAAATCTAAATCATATTAAAAATAAAAAATTTATTAAAATTATTTCATAATTTTTTATTAATAAATGTATAATAATGCTTTAAAATTTGGATAATCTAGATCTCATCACAATGATGAGCACTAAAGATGAGCCCTTTTTTACATACATATGGGGAATTAATTTACTTGATACTCTCTCTGGCCTAAATTATATGAAACTTTTGGAGAGATTTACCATATCAAAATATAATATATTTTTATAAAAATAAAATTTTATTAATGATATTTTTTTAATGTTATCCTTCCTATTATATTCTCTCTTTAATATTATTTCATAAATAGAGTATTGAATTAAATGCATTTTTAAAAAAATTTATATTTTTGTTTTGAAAAAATAAAGTTGCAAAGTATATTTAATATTCCCTCCATTCAAAAATGTAAGGTATTTTTAACCAAATTTTACTCCAATAAAGTAATTACCTACTGTCAAACTAATATTATCTTTTCATATTTATTCTTATTAAACACCTTAAGATAAATATAAAACTATTATTAATAGAGATACTTTAAAAAAAGATAATAATTACACATCAAAAAATTAAAAATATATTATATTTTTAAATATCCAACTCCTTAAAAAATACTTTATATTTTTGAAAGGAGGAGTGAGTTTTTTTGATATGTGTAATTTTATATAAAAATGTCTTGTGATCTGAGTCAAAAAGAATATTTTACATTTAAATAAAACTAAATATATTATAAAATAAACAACTGGGGCTTTCCGTTTTGATGTAGGGGCAATTGGTGCTTGGACAATTTGAATCATTTAAAATTAAATAAAATTCTTCAAACTTTTTAAATCTATTTATTTAATCGCTTTAATGTTACTATTTTTTATAATTTTTAAAACATCTAAACTATCAAAATGCTCTCTCCATTTAAAAATATAAGGCATGTTTTGAAGAGTTTAATATTAAAAAATGTAAGACATTTTTTATTTTTTGATGTATAATCATTGCTTTTTTTCAAAAGTACCTCTATTAATAATAATTTTATATTTATTATAGAGTATTTAATAAAAATAAATATAAAAAAATATAGTTAGTTAAAAAGTAATAACTATTTTATTGAGGTAAAATTTAATTAAAAATATTTTATATTTTTAAATAAAATGAGTATTTATTAAACTGGTGTGAAAGTAATTTAACTTTTGATTGGGGTAAGTTCTAAGCTGTCACGAAAAGACAGGCCGGTGTCCACCAACCATCATTGTTAGATAGATGTGCTAAAAGTGAAAATGAGTTTAGCATCATATAAATATAATGTAATAAGTGAAAATGAATTTAAAATACATGCAATTATTTTTTTAAAAAAAAAAAAGAGTTAATTTGGGATCAACTGTGTGTCTTGACTCTTGATCATCTTTTTTTTTTTTTTTTTGGACGATTGATCGAGAGCCTTAAAGTTGACTTTTTGTATATCGCCTTAATGGGATTATTGTTAGTTGATTTACTTACATATACAGGTTGACTATGTGAGCATGAAGAGAAATTACTAACCTTAATGCACAACCGTTTGAATTCGAGGTCTAGTTACCAGAAAACTCATCAAAATTAAAGTGATTTAAGACTCATAATATTGTAGTAGAAAAATATCATTTTTTATTACATACAGGTAGGATTTGATATTTTTTTTTAGTATGACAATGAATATTCTCCACGTCAATACCAAGGATTAATCTCTCTTTAAATATTGAGGTCATCCGTACTATTTTTTCCCCATATACACAAGATATTTATGACTTGAAGATCTGATTAAAAAGAGAGAGAAAACTCTTACTATTCATACTATTTTTTTAAATGGCTATGCAGTTTTGTTATATTTGAGTATTATTATGCCTAATTGAGGATATTTCTTTCAAAGATTTATTTTGAATTCACACAAATTTAAATTCAAAATCTCGCATTTAGGCAATCATATTTCCTTTCATATTACGACAAATGCTTATGCATTTTTTTTATGCCAATTTAAAATTCACGAAAGAATTGAATTTTTGAACACTATCTATTCCCACCCCATCTGGTTAGGTTGAGCTTATTAAGTTATTATAATGTTTTTTTTTACTTTTTAAATAAAAAATATATACTCTACAATACAAAACATATAAAAAGTATATTATGCATGAGTTATAAACAACTTATCTTAAACATCATATAAAACACAAGCTAGATTGCGATATAGTTAGTTTTTATAAATCAACATTTGTGAGATTGATATTATTTTATATTTTTTTATATGCTGAATAAAAATTATTAATAAAATTAAATTTGAAAAATTAAGAAGATTTGAATTATCTCAAAGGCCGAGGTAAGGTGCTCTTGCTCAGGGAGATCTGACCAAATTGTACATGTACGCGTGGCAGGAAATGAGTGGTCAAGCATCATGATTGATGAAGTGAATACAACATCTGTTTTGATGGTCAACATGAATCACGTCGACTCAAAGGGCAATGGAATGATTCAGTTGCAAAATGAAGCAAACATCGAAGCAAAACACACATGATTATGCAAAAAGCACTGAAGGGAAAGTCAAAAAATCACTTGCACACAAAACAGTTAATTATGCAGTAATATTTTATGATATGATGAATAAATCAGGCTAGAGATATTGCTTGAGGTAGTCGTCCATGCGCGTGTAGTTCACGTCCGGATAAAGCTGGGAGGCTTCTTCCTCGTCGTCTCCGATGTCAAAGTTGGTCAAACATCCTTCATAGAATATATGGTAGAAGTGCCCCACTCCCACTTGCCCCGCGTAGTCCATGCCTGCATTTTCACCTACGCCCCCTCAATCACACTCATCATTATATTATAAACCTTGCTCATGACACAGCACTATATATATATATATATCCTTTTGATTTGTTAGAAATTGATGACTATCTATGTTTAACAGTTTCAGTCTCGATCCATATTATTTGATAAGCATTTCAAATCCTTTCATTCAATTAAGTGTTCACATTATAATAGTTGGATTATCATCAACGTTTGAAATTCAAACTTGACTAAAAATAAATGAAACAGTGAACTAAAAGATAATTTTATAACAATACATTTTAACCATTTCTCTGCAACTATATAAATCATTGGATTAATATATACAGGCCAGCATAGCAAATGATAAAGCTATATATCATTTATTAATGTTTTCTCTATATCTTGTGCCAACATTTTCGACAAGCACTCAAGTGAATTAATAATTTCTATAAAGTCATGCGAAACACTCACTTGGTGAAAGGATTGAAGGACACTTACCAAATTCGGATATTCAGTTCGAGTTTAAATAACGTTGACATTGATGACTGGCCTTTATCGTTATATATATGTTAGGTGCGTGGAAGCTCACCTTTCATGGAGGAGAGCAGGTCGTGTTCAGACAAGCAAGACTTGTGAAGTTCCCTTCCCAAGAGTCTCTCCCACTTGGCAATCAACTCTCGTTGGGACAGAATGTTGTCTGGTGGTCTTAGGTACACTGTCTTGTTCAATGTTCGAGGATCATCGATTGTTTTGATCGTGTACGTCGCCACATCATCTTCGTCCACATACACAACTGCGAGAAAAACATTGAGATTCCCGAAATCAACCCTACCAAGCAAGTTCCCTCTGTGTATGAGTGTGAATGCAAATTAAATGATGGGCATGGAAGAGAAAAGAAGAGATTGCCTTTAACGTTGCCATCTCCGTAGAGAGTGACCTTGTCAGTGGGAGGGAGGAGGGTGCACATCTGAGAGAGGTTTCCGGCGAAGTAACCGGCGAAGCAGTTGGCGGAGACGTAGGTGAAAGGGATGTTGGCTTCCTCTATGGCTTTTCTCACTTCCATCTTCTCATCAAACGTCACTCTTCCAGGTTCCAGTGCCTTCCCCATACGAGCTGGGTCCATCCCAAATTCTGACGGCAAAAATCTCTGCACCATAAATTAATTAACAATTAATATGTTAATTATATGTCCAGATCCCATATATATATTTCGACGTACGTATATAATCCGAGTGGGATTATTTTGGGCGAGCACTATCTCCGTGTGGTACGATCCAACTGGAGCAACATGGCTGACGTGCGCAAAAGGATTTAATTCATAGCTATAGCTATAGGCTAGTATGTATCGTCCGTTACAATGAGATGGACGGCTACCTACTTCAATAATAAATGTTATTTGAATGGTGGATTCTTCTGACACGGACACTGTCACTTTCTTAAAGATTTGTAAAGAACTTCAAATAAATACAATATTTTGTAATTGAAGACGTCAAGACGCACCGTTAAAACTCGTGTGAAAGGAAATTCACACGAAAAGTCAACCAATTTGTCTCAACCACTTAAAATCCGTTTGATTTGGTTGCGTTTCATATTTAAAAATTAAAATTTTACTTTTAAAAAATTAAAAATTATTTAGATTAAATATTTTAAAAAAAATATATGCTAAAAGCAGTGGCACAGCCACCTTTAATTGAGAAAAAGCAAATGCACCCCCTTAATATGACTAAAATTGTAAGTATAGAGTGGAAGATTTAATATTTTATACAATCACACCTCATATCTTTATATTTTATATTTTTATTTTTAACTAATTATTTGAGATTACTCAAGACCTTATTAAGATCTAAATATATTAATTACAAATTTGCCAAACCCATAACAATTTAGTTTAAGCATGATAAATTTTAACACAAAATATTAAACTCTCACTATACATGAGACAACCTTCAAAAAAAAATATTATTTACCTTTTAATTACAAAATCAAATCCAAATTTTTCACAATGATTTTTTTTGATTATTTACTTTTTATTTCTTGCTCAACAATATAATTTTAAAACATGAAATCACAAAATAATAATTTTTTGGTGATTACTTTTCACCTCAATCTATTATTGTAATGTATATAATTATTTTTAAATTATTAAATTTTTATTTTTATAATATTAATCTTTTTAAATTAAATCGCACCCCCTCAGTTAGGGTCCTAACTCTGCCACTGCCTAAAAGCACATTTTAACAGTAACTGAAAATAAATTTAAAAAATATAACTATTTAAAACTTTTGAAAAGTGAATTTAAAAAATAAGATATTATTTTATCATTCTACTCCAAGTTTAATATTTTATTCTTTTATTTAAAAAATAGTTAATTTATTAAAAATGTAATTATCATTTTAATAATAATAATTAGGTATCAAGTTTTTAGCATTATAAGTTAAATAATTAATCATATTAATTTTTAGCATTCATGTATAATAATAATTATAAATATTTATCATATTTTCTAAAATTATAAATTAAAAAATATAAATAACTAGAGATCAAGTTTTTAGCATTATAAATTAAATTTTATGTTATTTAAAATCTTTATCATATTTTTTAAATATTTTAAATATATTACATTTGTATCATAAAATTTACAAATCATCATAAATCAATATCTTTTTTTATAATTATACATTTAAAAGCACATTTTATTATCGTGATTCAAACAATTTTTAATATACTAAGCTAACTTTTAAAAAAATATATTTAAATATAAATTTCGTTACAACAACTGACTTTTATCAAATGAACTTTTAATAAATTAAAAGTCAAACACAAACTTATTAAATTATGTTTTGTTGCCTTCTGTGGCTGTGGGTTCCAGAAAATGGAATGAAGGTGATATCTTTTTCCCCCCTTAATCGTCCTAATGTTTTATAAACATGTAGAATAGATTAGATGTGTAGATACATTAGATTTTAATGCTGTTCGAAATAGATATATATTGATTTTATAGCATACAGTGAACTAACTTGCATAATATGCCAACATAAATAGATATATATTGATTTTATAGCATACAGTGAACTAACTTGCATAATATGTCAACGTTGATGTTGGTGTGTACCTTTGATGTCGCCGAATTGAAGTTTGAATTATTTGATTATTCTATAACGCCTTTTAATTAAATAATCAGACTCCACCGAGTTGGCAAACAAAATTTTCATCTTTTATTTCAACATGGCTAAGCATGCACGCAATGAACTTCACAATATTTAATTTGAACTGCCCAGTCATTAAAAAAGTAATACTATCTCAGTATTTTATACTTGGAATTGGTCGTGAATCTATTTCATTTCTTGTTTTTTTTTTTCCATTTCTATCCATATAAAATAGTATGGACTTTATCATTTAATTTGAGTGAGTCTTTCTCTTATTACTCAATGGTGAAATATAGCTCAATAATTATAATTTAACTTGATCTCTTAGTTTAAAAAAAAAGGAAATAAAGAGAAAAAAATAAAATAGATTTAAACTCTCTATACTTAATTACATACTGCCACCTCTAATCCCAGATATAAGTTACTATATCAGTACATCCATATTTAAAAAAATTAATTATTAATTCTATTTCTTATAATTAACTCTCAAAATAACAAGCATTTAACGATATAAAATTTACTTAATTATACTCTCTTCATCCCATTTTATAAAACATTTTTAAAGAGATTTAATGTTTTAAAATATAAGAGACGTCATTTAAAAAAATAAAATTTTATTAATGATAATTTTTTTAATATTATTACTCTTCATTATTTCAATCCTTGAAAAAATTTCTTTCATTGTCACTCTCATTGACGAATGATACTTTCTGGAAGTTTATTAAAAATTAAGATTGTAATTTGTATTTAAGTAACTTCATTGATAAGGATAATTTTATTAAGAGAAATGTCTTGTAAGTTAAGAGGACGTTAGTATTTTAGATCATATGAATCTTTTTTTAAAAAAATTAACTTATATTGAGAACCAGACATGCTAAACCTAACAAGATCTTGAATAAAGATAATCTTTCTGCCAAATGGTAATAACGTACCTTAACGTTGCCGGCATCTTTGATAGCCTCGACAAGCTTGAGCTGCATCAGCAAGTTGTGGCTCCGGAAGTGCACGCCGGACATGGTGCAGATGACGACGTCGACCTTCTTGACGGCGTCAACAAGACTGTGGTGGTCGGAGAAAGAGGCCGGAAGGAGACGAGCACCTTGGTTCTTGAAGGACAAGAGCATCTGAAGTTTGTCAATATCAAGGCCTATCTCAGGACGCTGAAGAACGTAAGTCTCATGGCCCTCTGCAAGACTCGCCTTCACCATCCTCCTTCCTATGTACCCTGTGCCTCCCACCACCAGAACCCTGCTCTTCCCCATCCCTTCTCTCTCTTCTCTACCTAGCTATATCCTTCCTTCTCCAAACAGAGAGACCTGTATATAAGGCTTTTATATATATACATATATATATATATACATATATATATATATATATATAGGTGAACAAAATTGATGTGACGTGTAGCAGGTTATATGTCTATCATGATCCCGCCTCAACATATGACCACGCTCCATAATTTTTCTTCCCTTCTTCTCCTGTTGCCTCTCTCCTCTTTTCTTGCATGAATGTGTGATGTATTTAGGGCTTTTTTGACTAACATGTATCTGGATGTTAATATATAAAGCAATTATGATATTAATTTTATAATTATATTATACAAACTATCCGTTTCAAAACAAAACTTGTTATTATGAGATATTTTCAATCAAATTATATTCTTAATGAATTAATTAATTGTCTTAAAATTATATACTCTTTTCATGTTTGTATTTATTTAATAGGATATTTCAACTAAAGAACATTATTAATTACATCCACAATGAAGAGTATTATTCTATTTTTATTTATAAATCACTTATAATGTTTTCATCAAAATCAAGAAAAGAACTTATAAATCTCATTAATTCTATCTAAAAAATTTAACAAGTTTTTAACTTTATCCATATTAAATATACATACTTTAAAAATAAAATACTATAATATTTAAGAAATATGATCAAAACAATACTCCATCTCTTGCTTATAAATAGAAGGGTCTTATTTTTATTAAATAAATGCAAATATAAAAAGAGTGTATAATTCAAAGACAATTAATTAACTCATCAAGAATATAATTTGATTAAAATTATTTTATAATAACAAGCCTTAGGAGTATTGTTTTTTAGACGTATAATTTGTATAATTATAATTATAAAATTAATATCATAATTGTTTTGTATATAAACATCCAAATACATGTTGGTCAAATAACATTGCAAATGTATCATACATCCATGTAAGAAGAGAAGGGAGGGGCGATAGGGGGAAGAAGGGAAGGAAAATTATAAAGCACAATCATATGTTGAAGTGAAATTATAATAGGTATAATTAACCTGCCATACATCACATCAATTTTTTTTAAAAAAATGTAAGTATAGAATTTAGTTGGATAGAAGTCAAATTTTATACTTTTCTATAAAAAAGATTGAAACTCGATCTCACGAAAACTAAATTTTAAATTTGTAGTGTTTAATTTTTTTAAAATGTAGCATATTGATAAATATTTCTTTTCTTTACAGCACCGTTCTCAAATTGTCTAAATTACATTCCTTGCAGTGCAATTTACTCTTCCCAGTCACGGGTTGGTGTCCAACTTCCGTTTTTGACAAGACTTTCGCTTTACTTCTGAGCCATAGATTCTACAAAAACTACTTTAGTCGATTTTTTAAATAAATCAGCCAATAAAGATTAAATTTAGTGGAAGAGGCTCTTCTTTCATAATATAATTAACAAAATTTGAATTTTTAATAAGAGAGTTATTCACGTTTAATGTCTCACCATGCCATGAATATAATTATCTCAATAAGAATATATCTATGAGCATAAATCTGACCATCAAACAATCCAGATTATATACATATGTGTATATAAATATTTATATATTAGCTGACAAAAAATCTTTATATATTAGTTTTATATATTTTAAAATTCAGGACAAAAAACCAAATTGCTTTACAGCAATAGAATTAGTTCTTGCTTAGTTTATGCTCTATGTTTGATATATATATATATATATAGGGGGAGAGGTGTTTTCACTTGCACAGAAATGATTCTCAACAATAAAAGATATTCTTATTTCATCATTACTCCTTTGTTCAATAATGTTATAATTAATAATATTGTGTAATTGGTGTGTTTCATGTGAGTGGTTAATGGATAGTAATTGTCAAATGCTTAATATGCGCTCGCCTTATTTTTGGCTGGGATAAAGCAATGATTTCGGAACAAGGAGAGTCGTGATTGAAATAGATACATATTCCATGCAACTCAAATTATAAAATACTTTTTAATAAAATGTTATATGTTAATAAATATCATTAAATGCACTTAATAATTTTATTTTTTAAAACAAAAATATTAACTTCTAAAAATACCTTGCATTTAATATATTAAAAAGAAAGAAGAACAAAAATTAAATAAAAAGAGAAAGAATAGCATTGAAATAGGCCTATTTAATAAAACTTTAATAATTTCAAAGTATTTTATATTTTAGCATGCTGAACCTTTTTTAAAAGTATCTTATAATTTAATATGGATAAAGTATTTTGAATCTTCATTGAGAGAAGTGTCACATTTAGTACCTAATAATATCTCGAATAGAATTGTCTTTAATATAAAAATGTTTTTGAAAAATAAAAAAATAGATATATATGCAAAATGTTTATATAAGTATAAACAAATAAAAAAGGGGGGGCTGCCTATGCGCTGCACGTCCACCCCTCTAATCCCCATTGTTTTTGAGGATTTTATATAGCATTCCATAGTAGTTTTTTTTCCCGAACAAAAGAAAATAGTGGCTGTTTTGTTTGGTGGGGTTAGGTGTGACACTAAAAATATATAGATATTTGGATGTAAGTTGTTGAATAAAGAAAGTCCTATAAATTGTTTTTTATTTTTTCATATAACTATTCGATTAAGTTATATTCAAACATTATTGTTTATCGAAAATAATTAAAGACAATCTTCTAATGATATTTTCTATATTCACATGAGTTTGAATTCAATCTCGTATTTAAATAGATATATTCTTTATCATTGGAACCAATTGTTTATTAATACTAGTTGTTTTTGAATTCTTTGAACTTGAGTTGGTGGCATTTGAAAACCGAGCCGCAATTAGAGTGGAGTGTAGATCCTCCGAAGTTGAATATTTGCAAATTTATAATTTTTTTGAAAAAAATTAAGTTTTATAAAAGATAATAAAATGAGAAAAATATAAAAAAAATTCACAAAAATTCAGTCATAGCAACTTTAGAAATTTGCTTCCATTAAAGTAAAACAGTATGGCTGGTCATGATGATTAGGTTTAGGTTATTAGGTAGAGGCACCGAAGGGTTCAACATGCAAGCATGTGGATGCCATATAAAATTACCTTTTTCATTAAACACTGAGTTAATTAATAATTGAAATTATATAATTGTAGATATCATCGACCGACTGCCCAATTATAGGAAAAGCACTCTGATGCAACATGACGATATGATGACATGACACTAAATGGAATTACTTAATTAGTTTTTTGTAACCTGGAATTACTTATTACTTAATTAGTTTAAATTCGTGATTGATGTGATATTTAAATTAAAAGTCGTCCTTGTTGAAATTTCGCATCATTTCTTCTAGCTTTAATAATTAAAGTCTTCACACACACACAAAAGCGAAAGACTTGGGTGCCATGTTCATAATGCGATTGCGAAATATATTGAATTTTTAAAATAACATTCACGCCTTGTCAATGTCACATTATCACATTTAATTTATGGTTTGTACAAGAAAAATAATTGTCAAAAATAAAAGAATGTGGCTGCGTGTGTATATTATTATTATTATTATCATTATTATTATTATTTGTGAGCGAAAGTCTAGGTGAATTAAGGTATTAAAAGTTAGCCAAAGAAGAGTGTGTAGGATTAATTTTAATCAACTTGGAGAGTATTGATCTTTTGAAGTCTATGCATTAAGAATTGCTTAGCCCCCCCTCACCTATTCTGTTAAACTCTTTTTTTCAAAAAAATTTTATTTCAATGAAAAACAACATTTCAAGTTAAACTCTACTAATGGAGTCATGTCCCACCAACCATAAGTGTGATGGGCATGAAATACCAAAAAAAAAAAAACTCACTTTGTAAGCTTGATCAATAATTTCCTTAAAAATAAAAAATATTTAGGAAAATTATAAATTTTAGTTGGAACAAAATATGAGAACTCTTCCCTCAATCTTTAAATAATATAAATTAAAGAAATGGATATCTTGCCTACGGTTTTTTTTTTTTTTAACGACTCTTAACTACAACAAAATCATAAAACAAGCCTACCATAGATTGAACTTTACCGTAGCACTTATTACAGTTATACAACAAGGGAATTCGCTTTATAATGCAAATGAAGGAAGTGGTACGTTTTTATTATTTAAAATACAAATAATTCAGTTAGCACATGATAACAATGCTCATTATTAAAATAATCAAACTATACTCTCTCTATTTAAAAATATGAGCCATTTTTTAGAGGTTAGATATTAAAACATGTAAGACATTTTTAATTTTTTTAAGACATAATCATTACTTTTTTTAAAAAAAATGCCTCTTTTAAATAGATTACTTTATATTTTTTTCATGGTGAAATACTTTATTAAATATGGATAAATATAAAAAAAAACGTTTAGTTTGAAAATAAGTAACTACTTTTATTAGGATAAAATTCGGTTAAAAATACTTTACATTTTTAAATAGAGAGTGTTATTTTATATGTTTTAAATCTTTAGTGCATATAAGACAATATAAATCAACATGGAAGCATGTTTACCAATACAATTAAGTGGTATTATTAATTTATGATAATCACATTTAAATACATTTGTGGTATCAAAGATAGAAATCAACAAGTGATTGAAACATATTTTTGAATTCATTATAGTAACAAAATAGACATTATAATAGAAATCTTGGCATCAACTTATCCAAAAATTCACAATAAGAATTGATTTTCAAAAATGGAAACTTAGAGAAGAAAAAAACAACACTTTCTCTTAAAAACAAGTTCCTTTAGAGTAATTCACATAATGCAAGATTTCTATCATAAGCACACAACCCATATAGGTAAATCACCAATTAGGCATAGCTCATGGACCACAAAAACCAAGCATAAATACATAGTCTATAAGGGTAAGCAACAAATTTGATATAGCTTAAAGTCATGAATATCATGCGCAACACATAGGCTACAAATAAAAAGCGTAGCACAGAGGCCACTAATAACAGGCACAACTCAAAGGCCATGAATAACAGGTGTAGCTCAAAGGCTACGAATAACAGGCGTGTTGTGTTTGGTTTC